AACAGTTTGAACCAGATGCTGTCACGTGGTGGGCGGGGAGAATTGGAAGCACAGTGAGCATCCCGGCAACACAGAGTTGCAGGCACATCGGTGATGTGAGATTTCAGGAAAGAAACTAAAGTACAGGTGAGGGTGGTGCCTGGAGAGAGGTGAGGAGAGCCAGGGACGGGGAAGAGAATGAGAACTGCACATTACGTTTCCATAGGAAACACAATCCGGATTTGTGCTCTCTTTATTCCTGAGCTCTAGTTGTTCTGTCTTCCTTTGCTGGATCATATATCTAATCTTGGTCTTTAGTCGGAATGTACTGACCAGAAAAACTCAAATGCATTTGTATCTCAAAGATGATAATAAGTTTGTTTCCTCTCTCAGAACGCCTGTCTTATGCCAAGCTCAACAAGTGAGGCCTTCTTAATAAAGCTTTGAGTGGCAGATTCCAGTGAAATATGAGCTCAAATTGAGTTCTTCTAATTCACAAACTGGCTGGAGAGCAAAAGTCACATCAATTATAGGCCAAATTGAAGCAATAAAAGTCAGCTGTGGGTTGACTTGGCCAAAAGACATATTGATCCCTGCCAACATTATCAACCAATCTGTCAATAAATCAGCCAGTCCACTCAACCTGTGCAAGCTCACTGACTGACACAGCATATCCATAAAGCACTGCATCTGGAAACAAGAGATGCCAACAGTTAGATGCATTCACCCTGAAGCCTGCTCCATCGGTTCTTCCTGTGGGAGTGTGAGCCAGTTTGGATAACCCTTCTTGATGTGGTGGATTCTCACCTGGAAGACGAGCTAAATAGCATTGACCCTAGAATCTTAAGAGTGTTTTAATATATAATGCAGGACACTCCCCCACAGAACATAGTAAATGATAACTATATGTTTTTCGTTTATCCCACCCCCACTCTGGTATAATCAGTATCTAAGGCTGAATTAAAAAAAGAGTAGTAGGGGTGATGTGGGAGGTGATGTATGCTGTGACTATGTTTTATTACCATTGGTTAATAAAGAAACTACTTTGGGTCTTCACAAGGCAGAATAGAACTGGAGGGGGGAAGGTGAACTCAACTGAATTCTGGGAGAAAGAAGGCAGAGTCAGAGAGAAGCCATTTAGCCAGCAGACACCTCTGCTGGAGCCTGCTGAAACTTTGCTGGTGGGCTATGACCTCATGGAGATGCACAGATTAATGGAGATGGGTTACTTTAGGATATCAGAGCTAGCTAGAAATACACTTAAGCCATTGGCCAAACAATATTGCAAATAATGTAGTTTCTGTGTGATTATTTCAAGCCAGAACAGCTGGGAATAAACAAACATCTTCCCCCAACAGGAGGCGGTCTTTCATACTCTCTTGTTCAAATCTATTTTCCCCAAAAGATGTCAATCAACAGTGAGGCAGGTGTGGCATGGGCACACCAACAGTTGTTCCCTCATAGTAAGTTAATGCCTGTAGCTTGATGGTAGATCTGTATTCTTGGGTTGTTCTTGGATTTCTCCTTCACCTTACCAGCTATGAAAGAGCAAACTAATTCTTGAACATAGCTTGCTGTGAATTCAGCATTGAAAAAAAACCATAAATAAAACCTAGGTAATTGCAGGACCCTTCCTGAGGAAAGCTACAGATGGAAATGACTGTATTCAGCCTGGGGCCAAGCAAACCATCCTCCTAGGAAGACAGGGATCTGGAATGAGTTGGTCATGTTCTGCGAATCTGGGTACACTGAAGATGAATTATTCATCGAGTAATTAACAAAAGCCTTTTAGAGAGTCCTGCAGGGCTGGCTGTTCAACATACTGCTGGGTCATCAGCAGCCTGGACATCATCTGGGAACTCAATGGAAGGATCTCACGCTTTTCCCAGGACCAACCAATTGTCTTTTAAGTCTGCATTTGGACAGAGTCACACATATACTGAAGTCTGGTCGGCACTGCAATCCAGAAAAGCATTTAGAAAACTGACTTTTACTCTGGTTTCAAATTACAACCACACCCTGTATCTTCGCCCACACCCATGTCCTACTTGTCAGTTGACTAGGATGAGGATATCCTCAAGGTGTTGGCTTCTGCATTAGTCTGTTTTTGGGCAAGGCATTCCCTTCAGCCTCAATTTATATACATGAGTTCAGTTTCAGATGAATGATAATAGATTTGTTTCATTAGCATCACACTGACAGTCGTTGGTTCAGTGGAACTGAGGACAAGGAAGAGTGGCCGGGGAGAAAGGGAACACTTAGAGGAAGAATGGGTTTCCGTATGGCTCTTCACGAATGTGCCATTTCAAATCGTATTGCCACTAGTGAAGCATACCGCGAGAGGTTAAGTGGCCAGCTAGCTCTGTGTGAGGGGTGGAGCTGAAACTTAATTGTAGGCTTGTTTGGCTTTAAGCTGCACCCTTCACTATTTGCTCTAGTCAAGACTGCTGCTTGCAGATGTGGGCAAGAACTAGAAACTCACAACGAGCCCTCTGTAATGGCAGTAGAGTGTCTGGGTCAGAATTCATTCGAGACACAGTTAGGGAAGTCCGACCCCAGCTCCGGCTAGAGAAGAGTGACTTTATGGCTGGGGAAGATAATGTCCCCTGTATGTCTATTGTCACCTTGTAAGGTACAAGACACAGTAGCCACTTTTTTTCTTTATTTCTGTATAATTTAGCGGGGTGCTTGAGGAAAGCAGATTGATGGTGCTATGTTTGAATTTATTATTGTTATTTGCTTTACTGTTGGCTAGATGCAGTGCTCTTTAGTAGCTAAGTGACTGGTAGGACCATGGATCAGTCTACACCAGAAGAGCACTATCTGCTTGTTGGTGTGTTTCAATTCTCTGTGACAAAGTGAACAGAATTCCAGAACTCTGGTCTACAATCCCAGGAGGCAGAAATTTCAGTTAGAGATGCCAGCGGAGAGTAAAAGAAGCAAGACTGATGTGGGAATGATTTCTTACTAATAAAGAAACTGCCTTGGCCCATTTTATTGGATAGAAAATTAGGTAGGCGGAGTATACAGAAGAGAATTCTGGGCGAAAGAAGGTTAGAGGAAGAGTCGCCATGATTCTCCCGCTCCAGACAGACGCAGGTTAAGATCCTCTCTGGTAAGCCANTCCAGACAGACGCAGGTTAAGATCCTCTCTGGTAAGCCAACTCATGGGCTACACAGAATATTAGAAATGGGTTAGAACAATATGTAAGAGCTAGCCAATAAGAAACTGGACCTAGCCGGGCCAGGCAGTGTTTGAAAGAATACGGTTTCCGTGTAATTATTACTGGGTATAAACTAGCCATGCGGGCGGCCAGGTGCCGGGGACGCAGCCCTGCCGCTCCTAATTCAACACAAGACAGAATGTTTGTGACATCTAGAGGAGTGTGTGTGTGTGTGTGTGTGTGTGTGTGTGTGTGTGTATGTAGTAGACACTGGCTTGATGTCTGGAAGAGATGTTGAAAAACTCATTTTCCCATTGCCCTCAGGGTTTTTAGACTTCTGTACTTTCTTGACATGATTCTTTTTGGCTAGACTACAATTTTTTCAAATAGTGTACTTCTCCCTTGATTATACTCGAAGGTTTCAGAAGAAATAAAAATCTTTCAACATGTTAAAGGCTATGAGGAGGAGAAAGTTCCTGACATGGAGATGCTCAGAGATTTATGAACACGGAGATAAGAAGGCTAAATGAAATCCCTTGACCTTTGTTCTAATGGGGCCCAGTACTTTTCTAAATGGCTTATCTGTGAATATATAGACCTGAACACTATGCTATTAATGGTTCCTGCATCTGTAAGGAAGTATCTCATCTGGAAATACTCATTTCCATAAAGGTTACTGTTACCAGCATCTTATGAGAACAATTCCTCAGCCAAGAAAACCATAGGAGATAAGACTACAAACCATGCTGGCAATAACAATAGTGAAAATGGCGTCCCGAAGGGTAATGCAGACGGGATTAGATACCCAGTCTCACATCTGCTGCCCACCTTATCCCAGAGAATCACCAGTCTGAAACCAAACAGCAGTGGGGTGTTGACAATTTCTGAAGAACTTATCTTTTCCTGCCATCCAAAGAAGAGGCATGGAAAGAAAATAACCTGAATTTTCATTCTGTGTTTCAATGTAGAGCTTTAACAAGTAGGCAAATTAGAAGAAACAGAATAAGAACAGGATTTGTTTAGAGCTTGCTGGCTTCAAAGCAAGGGAGGAGATCAAACTGGGAAATGAATTGACCCACGGGTGTATGTGTACAAAGGTACGTGGCTATATTGAAGAAAAAGTGGCTGTCAAAGCTTGTGTTCACCAGTTTTTCCTTGAGGGAGGAAGCATGTTCCAAATCACAAAGCGTCTAAAACGTTTTGACACAGGGCTACAAGGATCTGTAGCAGAGGCAAAATACTCTTATGTTGTCTCAAATATTGTGCTCTGACAGGCTGCTACCCTCCTCTGGATTGATGTAGATGTGTTTCATGCCTAAGGTTTCTCTTAGCCATGAGAAGACGGGCAAGAAGATGCTGGGAAGTTTGAGATGAGTGTGGTAGAAATGCTTGCAGAAGTTGTACTGGGTTGCAGGAAAGTTGTACTGGGCAAGAGGAAGCGTGACTAAATTCTGTTTCTATCTTGGACCATTGTATTCATGCGCCGTCTTTCTTCAGAATCCATAGAAATGATCATTGGTCTGCTTTCTTAAGTTAAGGGGAATTTATGTATAGAACAGTTGACTTCAGAAGGCACTCAGAACCTTACGTGTGTATTGGTGGCAGCTGTGAGGGGTGGTCTGAATGAACAGATTTAAGGCCTGAACACTTTCTGATTCGTGTGTGTGTGTGTGTGTGTGTGTGTGTGTTTGACACAATTGTAGGCCTGGACTTCTTGTTCACATCCTCTGGTCATAAGTGTCTCCTTGTTATCTTGACCATTCTAGTGGCCCTGAAATTGGAGTACGTCTAATAGCTGCTGTAGGTTATCACATCAAATTTGAGAGTCTCAAATGGTGTGTTTCATTTCTTGTCACAGGTGGCTGTCAACTGCCTGAAACATCTCACCTTAAGGGGAAGCAATGAGACTGTGGGTAGGTTTCTGCTCATTCGTTTCTGCTCATGACGGATGAGATTGGTTTTGATTCTTTGATTCTGCTCACTTCAAGCTCACCATTCTTTCCCCCATGCTCTCCCATTCTCATCAGAAGTTCAGCTACGCACCCCGCTTCTTCTGTGTCATTCTCTTCTACACATTCTGTTTATTTGGGGAGATGTAAATTCCTTTTCTGCCAAACAAGCTCTCCCCCTGTGGACGAAACACCTTGGTAGCCGTTCCATCGCATGAAGAATGAAGGCAGCCCTTCAGAAATGCTTTGTTTGTTTGAGATCTACCAGCTGCCTTCATTTTACCTTCTCCAAGTCCCTTCTGTTGTTATTGCAGTCTTCGCTCGGAACTCCCACCTGACTTCTCCTTACTGGCATGCATTGAGGAGAGAGTCCGTGTAGGAAAGCTAATATCCTGGGCTCTGGGAGGTTCTTAGTTTTCTCTAAGCTCAATACAAGGAACATGCTGATCACTGTATACTTGTGTTAACTTAATGAATAAGAAACTACATTCCCTTGAAGGAGATACTTTTTCCCTTGGGTCTCAGTTTTTTTTTCCTCCTGAGTAATATGTCATTTGGTTAAGTTAGTAATTTTTTGTACTAGATTGTAATTCAGGAGTTCATTTCTGTAGAAGGAAGCTCTCAGAAGCAGAGCACTGATTAAGGACACTCCAGGTGAAGATCTTTTGCTCACAGCTGTGTCATCCTGAGCAAGTTACTTTACTTCGCCCTTCCATGCTGACATGTCAATAATACGCTGCTTGGTTTCTGTGAGAGTTCAATGATTTAATACAGTGCTCCCTTCATGGCGAAGAGTACCTAGTACCCTTGAGTGTGCCATTATCTGAGTGTGCTAGCTGCTCACTTGCAATGAAGAAAACATGAATAGTGCACGTTCCCTGTCATCAGGACATTTATAGTCAGTGAAAACTAGGTCCTGAACTCTGTGAAATATGAATATATACATAAAAAACATGAAGCACAGCACTCTATAACAGGAAGCATCTTTGTTTAGGAGAATAATGGATTGTGTCGCTATCAAGGTATTTATGAAATATTAGAAAGAGGGCATTTATGTTCTGCAATGATCTCATAGCATATCTTTGTAATAAATATTATTGAAATGTCCCCAACAGAGCAATCAAATTTAAAATTGAATGGGTAGAGTGGTGGTAACTTCAGAGACACTGTGGAATACTTGTACACTAACTCTTTCCAGCCAGGATAAAGCAAAGAAAGAGCATTTGGTATGCCGACGCCCGTGTGCAGCCTCCTTGGTCCTGTTTTCCCCATTTCCTCTCGTGTACTCTGTGGCATAGTTATTCTGCTTTATTTATGTTTTCTAAACATGCTCCCCCTCAAGATTCTGATACCCAGTCAACAAACGTGATGGATATTGGATCTATTTTCTATAATTGCTGACAGTGGACACTTGGGAGAAGAGAAAAGTGGGTTAGGCAACTGATTGCACATTATGGAGTTTCTCACAGGGCATTGTGTGTGCGTGTGTGTTACGAATAAAATGTAGAGACCATTGGAAATACTTGATTAGTAGATTGTTTGAAAGAGGATGTGCTGATGAACAGAGCAGGAAACACTGTCATTGTAAGGGGATCTTATTATATGAAGGCATTGGGTACTTTGCTTGTGTTAACTCATGAAACACAACTTGGAGATGAGGTGGTCTCATTTCCTCTGTTAGAAATATGAAAAGAGAGATATTGGGAGAACAATCTATCTAACTTCCAGAGCTAATACATTAGTGGAACCTTTTTGTGTTTTGAACCTAATCTTCCAAGCTGCAGAACTCTAAGTCTTCAAGCAAGGAAGTCCGGCCTTTCTGATATCACAATATGACATTGTCATTTATTGACGTGTTAGCCTGTAGTCAGAGCATTCTTGTTCTAAAAATGTTGTTACTACACAGCATATACGCAATATATTCTAGTAAGCCTGTTGACAGACTCTTTAAAATATTTATACACATTTTAGATTAACACATGCGTATTATATCAAATATACATATATTATATATCATATCAAATATACAAATACATATTATATAAAACATTATATATATATTTGCAACGATGAAGGTCAAATTCAGGGCCTTACACAGAGTAAGCAAGTAATTTATCACTGAGCTACACCCGCAGACATGACATCTTCCTCCTGCATGAATTTGACACAGCAATAGATAGAAACTATTCAAACTAAAACAACAAGAGAAATGGAAGAATATCAGTGACTTATGAGACAACTTCGAGTTGTCCAGTGTTTGCTGCGGTAGTTTGGATACAGAATGTCCCCCGTAGGTGCACATGTTGGAACACTAGTCCTACTGGTCTCCTGCAGCTGTGTGTCCCTGCCTGTAGCCCTGTCTCCTTGACCACGGCAACTGCATCCCTCTGAAACAACAGATAAGCCAAAACCAATCCTTCCTTCATAATTTGTTTTGGCAGGGCATTTTATTGAAGCAATGAGAAAGTAGCTAAGACATTTGTACTGTTGTATTCCCTGAACAAAATAAGCATTGGGTGTGGATAGAAACAATTTAAATAAAAAACAGCCAAAAGTCTTTAAAATTTATGAAAGCTATAGACACATAAATTCAAGAAGCTTAAAAACGTCCTAGAATTAGAAACAAAGACAACTCTTCAAAGGCCATCCATGATCAAATTTCACAAAATAATAGCTGAAGAGAAAACAAGCCAGCAGACACCAGATACACTGTATAGAGGGACAAAGACAGGGAACTCCGCAGAACTGTCACCAGAAAGAATGTCATCAGTGAGATGATGCAAGAGCCACAGCATCAAAGCAATGTGAAGAAAAAAAAGACTCAGTGTGGCATTCCATACTAAAGGAAATATTTTTAAAAAATGAAAACGAAATAATGACTTCTTCAGATTACTTTAGTCTGAACCAAATCCACCACTAGCAGACTTGCAGTATGGTAGACACAGGAAGCCCCACAAGCAGAGACCAGCAATGGTAGTAGGTGGAAGTCTGGATACATACAAAGGAATGGAGTAACTGCACAGAAGTATAGAAGACTATGAAATTGCTTTCTTATTTTTTGCACTCGTTAAATGATCATGGTTAGACTGAAGATGGCGTAGTGTTTCGATCACATAACAAGATAACATGTGTGACAACAGAGGCTGCAAGTTCTGGAATAGACAAACAACTGACATTGTATACTTTTCATGAAAAATGAGTTGTATATGCATGCACCTACTTAAAATATGCTATTTTCAGGCTGGAGAGATGTCCTTGTAGTTAAAAGTCCTTGCTGTTCCTTCAAGGATTGACATTCAGGTCTTAGCTTTCTTGTCAGGTGGCTCACAAGCTCCAGCTCCAGGGAATCTGATTCCCAATTTTGGATATAAATACACACGCACACACACGTCTTTTAAGAAGTGATATACTGTGCAGAAGAGAAATTTAACACAGAAATAAAACTAATCTGCTTAGCTTGGTCCCAGAGCCGGATATTGGGAACTGGAAAACTGTACATCTGAGAAGACCCTGTCTCTTGTCTTGTCCGTGTATACAGTTGGAAGCATACAATTGAGGATGAAAAAAAATTAAGTTGAGTCATGAAACTAAAATACCTGTCAGTGGAAGCTTTGTGAAGCCCAATTTTAAAAGAATTGAATTGAGAATTACTGAATCTAGTAATTATTGTAGCAGATGCACAGTAATTAGTTTGCAACATTAAGATTTTTGTTTGGGGAATTTTAAATTCCTTCCAAAAGAGAAGAAGCTCTGTGTGCCCAGAATTTTACTTGAACTCTACAGTGTTTTCAGTGTTAATTTCCCCTTAGTGAGCCAAGGTTTGCTCATCAGTAGTCAATGCTGATAAAGAGATTTTGGCTTCAGAATCAGAAAGAGGTACATGGAGCACACAGAAGTCATACTGATTTTCTAATGTACTAGATAACTCATACATTGTAAAACTTCAAAACCACTCTATCACATTATAAATGGGCTCAAGGAATTGTGTCATTTAGAGTTAACTTGCCAGGACTGACACATGCCAACTAGTGGGTGATTAGCAAGCTCTTCATTTTTCATATTGATTAATGGAAATGTTTTCCCTTTATGAAATAATAAGAGGTAAGAGTTCATATGTGTAAACTAGCTGGCGATTCATGTTGTTTGCACTCGGAAGAGAATTTGTTCAGTTTTTACAAAGCCCTGAAAAATGAAAACCAGTTTTCCAGCATGTTCTTAGAAGGGTTCTTAAAAATTCGAGATATTCTATCTGAAGTGCTTGGGATAATGTTTCTAACTGCTTGTATGCAGTACATGCTCAGGAAATGACATGTAGCTTGTAGTTTACTTAAGGAACTTAGCCTCAGCTGGAATTCTGTCACTAAATAGCTGTGTGACCAGGGACACACAATAAGGCAACTGTTGTCTCTCCCTTCTGAGGCGATGGTCACTGAGGCCCCTTCTACTTTTGTAATAGTACAAATTTATTTTCTGTTCTAATGCTTTAAATTAATGAAATGTAAGGACCTAACATAGAATAAAAATTTGAGCAGGGAGTTGAATATTAAATGTCTATCCCCCGTATCTAAATCCTTGATGATTAGTTTTCATTGGTTTTACTCTAGAAAACATCAACAGTGTTTGTTTATTATCTTACAACATGACATAATATTATTCTGAGGATACATTCTTTCTTTATTTTTATCCCTCATACTGCTTTTTTTTTTCTTGAAGAACTTTCATATCTATCTAGGTGTCTGTCTATATGTGCATACACACACACGCACATATATTTTTGTTTTACATATTATGTAGTCTTGGCTGGCCTGAAGTTTAGCTATATATCCCAGGCTTGAACTTGTATCAATTCTTCTGAATGAATGCTGGGGTTATAGGTGTCAACTCTTATGATCTCAGCTTATCTGCACATTTTGGTTCATACCAAGAAAATTGCATTATCTGTTATGTTAGAAATATATGGTCTA